CATATCCAACTACCTACTGCTGACGGCCGAAGCGGACTGTACGGTACACGCACGCTCCATCATGACCACCAACATGAATAGGAGGTAACTAAGAGTGAAAAATGAGTGAGGAAATAGACATTTGTAATACATGTTTGAGGATTTATATTGATTGGTTCAGCTCTAAATCCAAAACCCAGCCACTGGGAACTGACATCCATGTGGGGGTAGGATGAGGTATCCCAATCAGAGAGGTGAATTGCAATTTGGATGACTCACTCCAAGGTTACATAGTGGAGGACATCTCGTTATCTACACCTTAATCTCCCTAATCTCAACTGAATGGTTTTATCATCATTTATGTATTTTTAGTAGATATATATATATCATTTGTATTTCATTATCACATTTAGGAGGATGCCTCCATGGTCCAACATCCCAGGGGCTTAGAACTGGAAAGTGGTAGGAACTCTCAATCTCCACTAGAAGTAAAGGGGGGGAGAAAGTACAATGAGGAGTCCAGAGACCCAAGATAGTGCAATGGGTGACCACAAAACCATATTTTGAAAAGCAGACCATACCAATTTATTCAATACAAGGCGTGGAAGGAATGGGCAGGTATCCCCTTCTGCTTTACCCATGTAGTCCATGGGTCAATACGATCTGGGCTGGGCATATTAATGAAGCAAATACATCACAAGGATAAATCTACAAGCAATCTTGTGAGACACCTCATGTCAGCAGTGTACATTTAGTAGCCATGGAATTATAATTATTAAGTCATCATGGCCTTACAGTGCAGCTTTTGCAAGTTGAAGTATAGCTGGACAAAGTAGGATCCATAAAGAAAAAAGGGACATGCCCCTGAAAAAAAGAGTGAAAGATGGCAACAGGTGGATGACTGTACCCCTACAAGGAAGAAACAGCTACTCAAAGCAGAGAATGGGAGATGAATGTATGAAGTGTTGTCCCAGTGCTTGACAGACAAAGTACCTCCAACGGACGACAAGGTTAACATGCAGGGAAGTGCATGATCGAAGTGAAGACACCAAGAATTGATGATGGGAAGAAGAATACAAGGAATAAAAGGCCAATCAAATCACAATCCAAACCCTATAATTCAGAGAGGAAGTACCCCACAAAGCAGTGGAGTAAGGGAAGGAAATTGAGAAAAATGGATTCAACAGAAAAAAGCCTTGAAAACAATGAAGCAACCCACAGCATGTACTGGACAGACAAGGTCATCTGGAACTAAGCTAGAAGAAATGTGGAAGATGGTAAGAAATGAAAAAGTCAAAATGAATATACCACATGAATCATGAAAATGTAGGTGAATAAAAACGATCCAGAACAAATGAAACAAATTGAGCCATAACAGCTGAGAAACTCAGATCTGTGCCGGCAAGGAAAGATTAATCAGAAAGCCCTGAATCAGAGTGACATGGATGAACAAACATTTGGGGCAAAAATCTAATGTTATAAACTGGATGTAATCCTATCTGAACATATCAACAACTAGGGAAAAGGGAAAGTGCATGATCGAAATGAAGACACCAAGAATTGATGATGGGAAGAAGAATACAAGGAATAGAAAGCCAATCAAATCACAATCCAAACCATATAATTCAGAGAGGAAGGAAGTACCCCACAAAGCAGTGGAGTAAGGGAAGGAAATTGAAAAAAATGGATTCAACAGAAAAAAGCCTTGAAAACAATGAAGCAACCCACAGCATGTACTGGACAGACAAGGTCATCTGGAACTAAGCTAGAAGAAATGTGGAAGATGGTAAGAAATGAAAAAGTCAAAAGGAAAATGTAGATGAATAAAAACGATCCAGAACAAATGAAACAAATTGAGCCATAACAGCTGAGAAACTCAGATCTGTGCCAGCAAGGAAAGATTAATCAGAAAGCCCTGAATCAGAGTTACATGGATGAACAAACATTTTGGGGAAAAAATCTAATGTTATAAACTGGATGTAATCCTATCTGAACGTATCAACAACCAGGGCAAGTGGATGAAGAACTAGAAACCAAAAATAAAAGAGGTAATTGATAACAAATTTAAAACTTCACATGGAGGAGTACCCCACAGGAGGCAGAGCCACCAAAGATTTGGAGGATCAAGAGGTCACTCCTTGAGAGGAAATGTGACGGGACAGGAAAGTCAAACAGCAACAAGGACGAAAGCACCTGGAACACGACCATCCAGGAGACGTATGTCAAGTGAGTTAGTTCAAAAAGTTAGATCCACAGGAAGAAAGAGAATGACTGTCCCCTTGGTGAGTTATAGAAGCCACCACCATCGAATAGTCAAAATGAAACATGAGTAATCAAATCCGGACAAAAGAAAAAGAGAGAAGGAAAACAAATTCGACTTGCGGAAGTGCCAGGGTGTGAAGGTGATAAAACATTTTGGCTATAGACCCTTGTCCTGAAGCCTCCTACTGATCGAACAACATCTCCAACCTCTGGATATGAGCATCAGTGAAAAGAAATAATCCAGAAGAGGGGGTTGAAAAGGTAAACTCAATGTCATAGGGGATATGGTCATCTATCAACACATACAGATGAAGAGTGAAGGATGAAAAGTAAGAGGAAAATCAAATGAATGGCTCGGATAACAGAAAACTCCAACAAATGCATTTGAGGAGGAGAATGGATGGTTCCGATGGAGGGGTGTTTAAAAAAACCCACTCAAAAGAGACTAAAATGTGAGGTACGGAACAGGAAAAACATATCCAACTACCTTAGCTGACTTTGCAAGGAGTATATGAGTATGTTAAGACTACCCTCATTTGGAAGGAGCTAACTGAAGCTAGACATCCAATGAATAGTTCAGGTAAAATCCCCTAAAATGTGGAAGTCAGGTAAAACAGACCACCCCACAAAAGACATATGGAATGGAAACAAGTCCAAAAGGCAAAGCACAAAACTGGGACTGAATCATGTGGTGAAAAAACCTAAGATAGCATCCTGAGAAATGGAAAATAAGAGTGTGTACTGTGGGCATCCCAAGACATCCAGAAATAGCCTATCCAAATGTGATCAAAGACTACATATGGAAATGGAGAATACCCAAGAAGCAATTGTGGCAGGGCCAATCGATCCAGAACCCCAATCATCATTAAGCATACAAGACGAATGGAGAAAACCCATAGGTAGGACAGGAAGTTGCCAGACATGTAAAATAGTAAAGATAACAATATCTCAGAATGAAACAAAAGAGTAACTAAAAAAAAATTTAAAACAGCATAGCAGTTACCCCGTGTGATACTAAATGTGTGGTAAGAGCCCCAAAAATTAACCGGGGAGGAAAAGGATTTTACCTTATGTCCCTAATAACAGTGGATGGTAAACAAACAGCAGTGTCCTACCCAAAAAGATACCAAAAGTAAAGAAGCCACATGTGGAGGGAAAACTGAAGATGGGAAATACCCAAACATGGATGGAAAAAGGAGGAGGTATCCCACAAAAATCCCTAAATATAGTTGGAACACCTAAGAAAGGAAGTGGAAGGTAAACACTACCTGCAGGAGAGTAGATAGGGTAACAAGAAGCTGAAAAACTAGGTATGGAAGAAAATGGATAGCATTAAGAAATATTCGATGGACATTAAATCAAGACGAAAATCTGCCTGATAGGCCAAGCAGATTCTACAGTAGAGGCCTGGAATGCAATCTATAAGGTGGAGGAAAACTGACAAAATCTGGGCCGTCTGAAATGGGTTCAGCCATTATAGGGGGAAGGCGAGCAATATTGGGAGCAGGTAGGGTGGGCCCCATACAAATGAAAATAAGGGTAAGAAGTATACATCATAAATTAAGCAAAATTAATGGTAAGAAATTGTGTAATGAAATAAACATATGTACTAAATGTTATGTATTGAAGAAAACATCATAGGTAACCTAACTATTGATTAACCCAGAAGTATAACTATAACTACAGGTAAACCCAAAATAACAGACACATGTTAAGCCTATTCGTACAGTGCGGGACAAAGGATATCACTAAGGTCTAAAATTAAAATCTTAACCTAATAATAAATATGTACAATATTGGGAGAAGTTAGTGTGGCCCCGGTTCAAGGTTTGCACAACAACCAAGTTCATATGAAGAAGTATAAAAGATTAATAATAATAAAAAAGTGAAATAACATTAAGATATAAAATTAAAGAAGTCTATATTAACAATAACCTATGGATGAGGCATGATGTATGGAAGAAAAACAATATAGTTAAAACAATTATTGACATACAAGTAAAATGAATTACAGGTAATCCTAAAATAACAAAGAACCCTGGTATCAGTAAGATAGGAGAAATAATACAACTAAACCTAATTTCCAACCTGTTGGACTATGAGTATTGACTAATCTAACAAAACTTTTGTTATAGAACTCAAATAACTACAAATAATATTAAAAATAAAATTATTCAAAAACCATAACAGTATAACATTTTATCTTTCCAAGGTTGGCAGACTATATGTCAAAATGTGTGGGCCCCAAAACTCCAGGCGAGGCCCAACAAAGGTCAGCTCATTGGACGATCAATCTCCCAATGAAGTAAACGTGAAAATCTTCCCGTGGCGTACTGCTACCTGAAGCTTGTGTAAATGTGCTGATAGAACATATAACCTCCAAAGTGATAATGTAGAATTCATAATACAAAATGAATAACCTAACACAACTCTGTTGGCAGAAATAAATAAAAAGTTTTTGTAATGAAGTAATAATTTCCATAATTGGGTAGAAATATAAAATAATTCCACTTCGGAATAACCCAACTCATATATCATAAAGAGTAAACTTGTTGAGAGAAATTAATACAAAGATATGGAAAAAATTAAAATAAAACACTTGAAGAGAGCACAAACTAACCATTACAATACAAGTACTGAAAACAAGAAGTGATAGTTTGATAGAATTGAATAGAGGGAGTCACATGCGTCAAGAGGGTATGTCACATTCTTATTGGTGGAGTGTTGTCACATGATGATTTGCATGCAAGACACACTGGAATCAGTCAATTCCAAATGGGTTGGAGTTTCAAGGCTTGTGGCATGTGCAAAAACATTTTGCATATAGAGGGCATCATCATTCAACAACAATAATAACTATTTAATTTTTCCTAAGGTAATGTACCATATCGGAATTTATATCAATGTTATGTTTATTTCATATAATCCCTTTTTATTTCACATACACATACCTGATATGTCATTAATATTTTCGAACTTTATTATTGGCAAATCTAATGTTGTAATTAAATTTAATAAAAACATAGTTAATCACCTATCCTTACTAATTATAAAAAGAATAATGCAAATCCAAAGTCATCGAGATTGAAAATTTAAAGGCCAGAACAAATGATCTGATATGTTTTGCTGATGCACACATCTTTCTATTTCTAAAATTGTTTTCACTGTTTAGAAAAGTACAGGAAATGAAATTTAATTGTATTTTACCCCTTGAGAAAATGCAAACTAAATGTGTGATTTATTAAAAACATTTTTCATTACAGTTTTGAGTGTTTGAACTAATTGTTAAAAGAAAAAATAATTGCATAGAGTACTTCATATCATAAATACCATAGAAACTTAATAGATTATCATGATTATTAAATTTCCATCTCTTACCTGGACCTTCAATTACAGCCTGAATATCTGTTATGTCTTCATCATTTATAAATACCTTAATGCCCTCTGGTGGTGATGAAACTAGTTCTGACATTTCTTTTGCTATTTGTCGAATAACTTGAGGCGATAGGTTTTCCACATTTGAATTCTGAAAATAAACAGGCCAAGGGATGTAGTAGATACAATACATTTTAACCATAAAGCCTCAAAACTATTTCATCAAGTTATATGTACCAGCCCCAAACTAATAACATTGAAAAATAATCTAAACCACATGTGTGGCTTGGTTTAAATTTAAAATAATTCTCCTTGGGAAAAAAAAAAAAAAATATATATATATATATAAAGCCATAAACTTATATATCACCTGTTCAACTCAGTTGAAAAACATATAAAATATGCAAGTGCTTGACATCCATTATTTTTCAATGTGAGACCCTTGTTACCATAACATCCCCATTCAATGATTTAACATACATTTAAAATAATAGCACTTTCAGGTCCCTTTACTTTCATTGCAATTTGTTCTTTAAAAACAAATATCATCCACAAACAATAATAGGCATTATGTAATCACTTATTGAAATAAATATATTTATTGTGGAAAATAATGTTTTGTCCAATGTCATGGAAATTTCAGAATATTTCTACATTTGCTATAGATGTCCTCACATTTCTACTGTATTATGACTTACAACAAATTGCTTTAACACTTCAATCACTGAATAAATTATTTGGAAACATTTACAATAAATGAACAACATATATACATACAAAATAATATCTGATATTAAAAATTATCTAAGTATTGTCAAAATAAAATAAATACAATATTCCAGAAAAAAGAACATATTTGACTTGAAAGCTAGTACTAGCATTGTTACCAACTTAGGTAACAATGCTAGATGATAGGCAAGGTGATGCATAATATGATCAATTCAAACAAACATGATACCAAAAATTTAGTTTATGATTTTTTATAACCATATTAAGTAAAAGTAAAAAAAAAGTAAATGCTAATACTGAACAGGAAAATCTAAATAAATCTCAACTCAGTTTTACCATTCGTCCAGTCAGACAAATATATGTTTGGTAGAAGTGAAAGTCTGATTTGGGCAGGGTAATTTATTTTCTACAGGTAAATTATATGATAATGTTAAAAGCACTGTGTTTTTACAATGTATATAGAGTATTTTTATAAGCTATTTGAAGTTTGAGTGATGTATTGAAAAATAAAGTTGAACACAATCAAGAGAATTTATACTTAGCACTATAATTAGATGTGAGAAATTAACTCAGTATAATGAAATACCTGTGAGCACCGAGTAGTCTGATTGCTGTCAAATAAAATAACAAGTTAACTGAAATTACTATCAAACTGACGAATGTCACAAAAATAATAAACTAATTTTAAATAAGAATTTTTAATCATTCCGACTACCCACATAACTGAAATATTACCAATATGATTTCTCATTATTACTTTCATTTAAACTTGTTCAGCTTAAAATTATGTCACAGAAATATTTAATGAAATTAACATTAACTATTATTAATATTTTTAATTATTCCAACTATCCAACTAATCAACATATTCATATTATGATTTCTTTCTATTAATTCAACTTCGTTCAGCTTTGAGTAGGCATGGCCTAATGATTATGGGGGGGTTTGTCTTGCTATTTGGTGGTCTCGCGTTTGATTCCCATTGTTGCCAAACATGCTCACCTTTCAGCTGTGGAGAGTTATACTTATTTATGAGTTACAGCATAGCTACTAGAACTATCTGCCACAGTCAACAACCATGAAAGGGAATAGGATGATATTACCAACCACCAACTCTTGGGCTACATAAATTTGCTATATATTGTTTTAATGTGTGTTAGATTTTAATATAACTTTATTCTTCTGTCTTCAATAACCTATAAATTTGTCTTTTACATTGTGTATGTGTTATGTTTGTAACACCACATCTCTTACTTTCCTGAACTTGTGTTCTGATGAAAGTTGTGACATGCACATGTAGAATCCACAACCCTTTCATCTCAGAACTGATGTTTATGAAGCAGTATTCTTTATTCACTTAGTAAGCCTACAAACCATATGATACATTACAAATGTACCAATAACTTTTCAATAAACAACAATAAAATAAATTAAAATTAAAATTTGCAAATATCATTCTTTTTATGAAAGTAACATAAAATCCTGACAATTTTTCATCCAAATTGTATATTATACCATATAGAATAATGTTATGAAAACATACTCCATAATTTAATATGTATAGATAAGCTGCAACTGCAATATAGCCTTCAAAAGGCCTCAAAGGAAAAGTATTTTGCAGTAACTTGACTGACACTGGCAAAAAGGACTTAACCCTTAAAATATAAGTTTAACATAACAGCAAATGTAGAACGTTTCGACAAGGTTTTGTCATCATCAGGTTGATGGTTTTGTACCTGATGATGACAAAACCTTATCGAAACGTTCTACATTTGCTGTTATGTTAAACTTATATTAAAGTTTTTCTTCATTACCTATTCAAGCCATCTCCAAGCATTGTTAGTCTCAAAGTGGATTCCTTGTCATCAAATTTAACCTTTAAAAGTTTTGTCTTTTCTTTTAAAAATGTCCTGAAAATGTAATTGAATGTTTATCAAGTAATGAAATTTTCAGCCATAATACATGAGTAAATTTTATAACAAACATTCACCAAACATAACTCTGATGGGAACCAACTTAAAATTATATCAGACTTATGTTAAAATATACCTGTGTTTTTATTCTATCATTAATATGATAACATTTGCTAATAAACCTTATTGTATATTACTTCCATTTGTTTGTTTTTTTTACACAGCATCTGAAACTTCTTTTTACAGCAATGCTTGTTTCAGTTTATTGATGAGAACGAAAGCATTATAATTTTCTAAATAAAGATTTACAAAGTATCAATCTAACAACACTACCCAATTGTTCAAAATTAAAACAGGCAATGATCCACATATTATAAACAATTAGTATAGAAGTATATAGCTCACCATGTTTGGCAATATATCTCTCACATGATGACATTGCTGAGAAGTAACTTTCATCATTCAGAGAAGTAACTTAACATGCTGAAGTTAATAAGCTTCTCATACTGATGCTTTCCTACATTATGACAAGGGAGTGTTCTCTTGTTCATTTACGAACAACTAAATATTTTTTTTCAAAGTGCATATAATTATCCATATTCTCTGTGAGAGTTCAACAGTGACATTTTGAAACATCTTAAAACACATACACTGTTGTGCAGATGGAGCAAAACTCAGAAATAACATTGTTTTAAATTGTCACAAAGTAATGTTTGATTTTCATCAACCAAAATTAAGTTTTGTGGAAATTGATGGAGAAACCCACTAAACACTATTAATTATATTTTCAAGTATTATTGCTATACATATTTTCATGTAAACCAGTTTAGGGTGAAAAAAATAAGTTACTGCTAAATTATTGTTGCTAAGTCAGTGTTTCCTCTGGCTTTTCATAGTTTTCCCATTAATTTCACAAAATTATTTTTATATGTTAATTTTAACTCTTTCAACAATTTTATCCCAAAAAATATTTTAATATCAATATTTTGTCATTTTCTAACAAGTGTAATTGACAAAGAATTGAACTTTTCATTTCTGAATAGTTCTTGGGCAATGTTAGATATACACAACTCTTTCAATTTAAGTTTAATTCATATGAGTGTTATGAGTTAGATAGTTTACATACCACAAGCGTTAAATTTAGTTATTTTTAGAAGTGATAGTATATCAGAAGTTTGTTTAGTTAACTGTTTATGAATCATACCTTGTGCAGTTCAATAGTTAGGAATTGGTGATTGTTATATTATTGTGTCATGTTACTAGAAATTTCTAGGTATTTTTCATTGTTTTACTTGAGCATTATTGCATCATAATATCTAGTGGCATGTAGAATGTTCTTGACCTCTGTCGGGGTATAAATGTGTCAAAAATTTAGCTTGACAAATAGATCAAGATTGTATTGTAATAACAGAGTATAGAAGAATAATTTGGCTTGTCAGTTGTGTTCAAAAGTAACTGAACCAGCCTGTGTGGACTTTGATGAAAAAGTGACAGTTATTTAAAGCTCTGGATACAACTGTACTAACAAACATTGAAACAAACATTTGTACATATTATATATATATATATATATATTTGACTTGTTTTAATACATTATTTTAAAACAAGTGAAGTGTATGCTATTTGTTTATTGTTGAAATTTATAACCAACAAGTCTCATAAAACCTGACAGACAAAATAATGTACTTACTGATTGAAAAATAAAAACATTTGCCATCTCAAAGCATAGCTTTAGCTTTTTTTTTTTGCTGTGGAAGCTTTACTCCTTGAGAGAATATTATCCATTTCTTGTTTTCAAGCATTTCTCTTGCCTTTTTATGCTTATTTTTTGTACAGGCCTTGGTTACTATCCTTTTATGATGCCACATCAAGTAGATTGATCATTTAATAATGAAGCAAAGACTTAGAACAGTGAATGTGGTTTGAGCAGTTTTTTCAAGTCAGCACTCCTATAGCATTGACCAAAAGCATTTTGAAGACTTAAGAAAAAAAGACAGAGTTGGACATTTTTTTAAAGTTATTTTCATTCACAAAAGAGTCTGTATGTTGAATTATATTCATTTGAAATCTACAAAACTTTTATTAAATGAGAAGACAGATAAGCTGTTAGGTTTAATAAGTATAGCAGGAAACAACAAAATATTGTCACTGATGACTCAAATCCATATTTTACCAATAATTATTTTCATGCTTATATTTTCAAATAATGTACAAAAATAAACTGGCTAAATGGCTACTTAATTATTTCTAATTTCAATCATGAAATTTCAGACATTACATTTTACTGAAGTTTTGTTAGACTAAGCTCAGAAGCTTCTAATTGTTACATTTTAATAACTGTAATTAAAAAATATATAACAATAAATAAAATGCATACATAAAAACAAGAACTTATAGTACTAACTGAGTACTTGAGCTCAATTTGCACTTCAGTAAAAATGTTTGACTTTTCTCTATGTATGCTATGACCATTCTTGTGCATAGATTTCATAAAATAAATAAAAACATT